AAGAAGAAGACCACCATTGGAATTCGAGTGTTTATCGTCTAGATCGGTGTGGCGGGCATTGAAGTCACCTAGGATTATGGCTGGGGCGAACTCGAGGAAGGAAATGGAATTGACCTGTTGACTGCAATGGCGACTCCTCCGCTGTGAGTCTCTCCCTGGCAGACTATACATGGCATGATAGGGCAGTTTAACAATATTCCGGCTGGAGGCGTAGGTCTCCTGGATTGCCAAAATTCCAATATGTTCCGATGGACACAGGTTTTGGAGCAGCTCCTTTTTGTTCCTCCAGCCCCGGACGTTGATTGTGGCAACGTTAGGTAGTAGTTCGGTAGTAGTGTTAAAAGGGATGAGTATTATTTTTATTTTTTTCCCCTTATTTTATTTGTTTTTCTTTTTTTTTTATTTTTTTTTATTTTTTTTTTAATTAGATTCGAGGAGAAAGTGTGGGAGGAGATGTGGGCGTGCACGGGTCCTGGAGGTTATTCAGGGCACGAAGAAGAAGACCACCATTGGAATTCGAGTGTTTATCGTCTAGATCGGTGTGGCGGGCATTGAAGTCACCTAGGATTATGGCTGGGGCGAACTCGAGGAAGGAAATAGGAAGGGGGACATGAGGGCGGTTGTAAATTGTGAAAATAGATAGAATTTTACCTTGCCAAAGGGCTGTGATTGCTACAGCGTTGGGAATGGCATACTCTGGTGGAATTGGGAGAGGGCGACTGGGAATACTCCTGTTGCCTGCAATGGCGACTCCTCCGCTGTGAGTCTCTCCCTGGCAGACATACATGGCATGATAGGGCAGTTTAACAATATTCCGGCTGGACGAGGACACCAGGTTTTGGAGCAGCTCCTTTTTGTTCCTCCAGCCCCGGACGTTGATTGTGGCAACGTTAGGTAGTAGTTCGGTTGTAGTGTTAAAAGGGATGAGTATTATTTTTATTTTTTTTTCCCCTTATTTTATTTGTTTTTCTTTTTTTTATTTTTTTTTATTTTTTTTAAATTAGATTCGAGGAGAAAGTGTGGGAGGAGATGTGGGCGTGCACGGGTCCTGGATACCGATGCTGAGTAGGTTGCCACTTATAAGAAGGTGTACATTCTTCCCGGTGGCATGGAAAAGTGAGGAGGGGAGTGTCTGGTAGATCATCTCTCTGGGGAAGGCGTTGAGAAGTGCGATTACGAGTCCTCTGATCCAATCGTCCCTGGAGTCGTGCGGTTGATCAGTCATCTTCAAAGGGGCAACAAGCTCTGGCGCAATGGGGGCCTTTGGGCGGCTGGGGCACTATAGCTGAACGCGGCATGGTTACCTCCACAGTTCGCACACTTAGGTGTAGTCTCGGCGGTCTTCGTGCAGAAATTTGTTGCGTGCGGGCCGGAACATAGGCCGCAGGTTTGGCTCTTCGTACAGCCAGTTGTTATAGCGTGGAATGCAAGACAGCGATTGCATTGCAATGGTTGGTTAGGAGGAGGATGGGAAGCTTCGGCGCGTAAGCGCTCACCCAGGAGTTTAAGTCCGTTTTGGATGAGGCTCAAGACGTCCTCCTCATGCCTTGATAGAATCCTTACTAAGGTAGTAGGCTCTCCGGTCTTCCTCGAAGTGATACGCCACAGTTTTGATGGTCGAAGCTGATGATCCATCAGGGCATCCTCTACTTCCTCCATGGTGATGGTTTTGTGTACACCTTTCAAAACACAAGAGTACGAGGACTGGCGGGGTGCAGGAGCACTGTTCATGTTGTTGCGTCGAAAGGAAAGTGAGGAAATCGAGACGGATGGCAACCAGACGGTTCGGCAGCGTCGCAAGCTTCTCTCCCAGCTTGGCGTTAGCAGAAGTGATAAAGGCTGTAGTACCTCTAAGTCTAAGATCTTCAGTGCTCTTATTAAAATTCATGCCGAATTCAAATGTTCGTAGCAGCTTCGTCATAAAGGTCGGCGTGGAATTAGCGACGGGGATGTTATCAAGGTGCCTCTTGAAAACTCTAGTTGAGGAGGTCGGTGATGAAGGCAAACGCGGTGATCTAGGAGCTGGAGAATCGCGTGATGGGGCAAGAGAAACGGGTGGCGGGGTAGGAGAACCGGGAGACGGATCTGAAGAAACGGGGGACGGAGTCGGTGAAATTGCAGTGCGCCTACCTTGTCTATTAGTTAAGAGTGGGGATGAGTCTTTTGAGGTTATGTTTGGACTGCTCGGCGAGGCGGTTACTGCTAGAAGCGTACGCTTTGATACGGAGGACTTGGTGGACGTAGATGGTCCGGCTTTCTTAGGCGCACCTGCACTGCGGGATCTCTTCAAACGATCGGATCTCTTCACCTCGGATACTAAATTTTTGTTGACGGGCATCTTGACTGTGTTCACTGGTCGGCCATTGATACTCGAATGACTTTATGAAACTGCGTTTTAATTAAAAACCTGCATAAATAAGAAAGCACCTGCCTGAACATCTGCTATACACCTGCGTTGTAATTGAACACCTGTAAAGAAAAAAAACACATACATGAACACCTGCAATTTAATTGAAAACCTGCGTCAGCATTTGTATTTTAATTGAACACCTGCATAAATAAGAAAGCATCTGCGTGAACATCTGATATACACCTTGTGTTGTAATTGAACACCTGTAAAGATAAGAAAACAGGTGCATGAACACCTGCAATTTAATTGAACACCTGCGTCAGCATTTGTATTTTAATTGAACACCTGCGTCAGCATTTGTATTTTAATTGAACACATAATTAACGCATAAATAAGAAAGCACCTGCGTGAAAATTTGCGATACATCTGCGTTGTAATGGAACACTTGAAAAGGTAAGAAACTTTTGTGAAACACTTACGTGGTTAATCACAAAAATTTCCTTATTTGTTCATATACACTGATATTTACAAGTCGCTTTGCTTCTGTTCAATTTATTACAATCCTCGAAGGTAAAAAATTAATAATTATTGTGTATTAATCTGATTACTATACAAATTTTATTAAATTTTTAAATCTCAATATTTTGACCAATAAATATGTTAAAATAAAATATAATTGCAAGAAAGTGAAAAAGCGAAAAGTTTAAAATCAATCTGATTATTACATATTTTTCTATTAACTTACTTAAATAAATATTGTGTAAAAAAATAGCAAACTTTAATACAAAATTGTTAAAATGTTCTGATGAAGTGATGATAGAAATTTCTGTTATGTTGTTTACAATAGAAGAATAATGGAAATGTGCACGTGAATGCTCCAATTCTTTGTATGACTTTCGGTCGGTCGGTTCTCAGAATGCCGCAAATGTAATTGAAATTAATGAATGATCTGATACGGTTTTGTGTGGCGTGTGGTACGATACCAAAGTTCATTAAATTAGATCTGACAAAATCAATAATTTGCAGATGGCAATAATAATAATCGATAGAATACATTTCTTTTTTAAATTGCAAATATCCAATTTAGGTTCTAACAAATATGCTCAAATTTATCAATGAATTTTTGAAAATTTAAAATAAATTATTGAATTTCTTGCTTAAATATAAATAAAAAGTATTGTAACTATTTTCATTAGTATACAAATTTAAATTAAGTTATTATAAAAGTTATGTAACTTGTAAAATTTTATTTATTTAATGTTATTATTAATTTAAGTGTAATTTCTCTAATTGGGGTAAAATCTATATAATACAAATTCTTTGTAGTTCTTGGATTAAATTAAATTAGATAGAAATATCAAGAGTATTTATCGTGTGCATTTATTTGAAGCGAAAAACTGTGACGTATAAATATAGTTGCACACATTCATATATATAAAATATAAATATAATATCTTTTGCTTTAGTGTTTTCGGTTTCTTGGTTTATGTTATGGCGTTGTCGGTCCGTGGCTGTTGGAATGACTCCAAAGTACATTAATGCTTCCATCTGTATAATATGGTAGGAAGGATGGGGGATGGTCGACGTACAATTCTCGACGGTCACACGCGAAGGAGCAAAAATTGCGACCGACGTATAAATTTCCGATGCATTTCGTGCCCTTTTGCACATACCCACGTACATAAAATGCTCTTGCAACAAAAAAAATATATATGTATGGGAAGAAAACGTTGATAATACAGAAAGAGTTATTGCATATGTGCATCGTTTCAGAGATTCTATTTCATTAAAAATACTTTCGTTTATTACGTTTACTGTTATTTACATTACTAAGAATTGTAGAAATACCCAGATTTACACACTAGATTGGTTCCTGAGAAAAACGTGTTAATCGAAATTGTATTTTTTCAATGTAAAACCGTGTAAATCGAAAAATATTAAAAGACAAAAAAATAGTTCTTTTTGGACTTTTTAAACCGTATAAAAGCAAAAACATCTAAAGAAAGTACCGTGTAAAACGAGTATATAAACAGATATATAATTTGTTTAGTATTTTTATTACTTTACTTGCTCAAAAACTGTCTAGTTTTGAAACTACTTAGAATCAGTTTACTAAACTATATGGATTCGTTTCAAAATGGATTAACTTTTAAAGATGCATCCACACTGTATATCAGATGAGACAAGTATGTCTGTTAAGTATACTAATTGTGCAGTTGCATGTTGTACTTTGTAGGTACCTTGAAAAGTGCTTTGACGGAGTTTTCTTTTGGCGCATTTCTCGGAAAACTACAAGAAGTAGAAAATACTTTACAAACATATTTGTAACTTATGTACTTTTCATGTAATTTCTTGTCAAAGTAAATTTTTCTTACTCTACAAAAATGAATGTCTTTACCTTTCAGTTTATTATTTAAAAAGTTGAAACAGTATAAAGTTCATTTTAGACGAATTTGAAAGCTTGGGTGTAATTTGCTGGCAAAGTAGAAATTAAGTTTCCGTATCTTTGCGTTTTAGCTTACTTCTGAGAAAGTAGTAAGTAGAAAGTCTATACAATAACGCATATTGTATGAACTTTGTACTACTTTTTCAGAAATAATCTGAAACGTAAAGATAAATATTTAGAATTTGAAATGATCTTTTTATTAAATTGTATAGTTTACATGAAATCCGTTGTCAAAATTGAAATTTTGTGACACAAAATTGTATTTAGATTTTGTATGTATTTTGAAAATAACCAGAACCTAACCAGCTTTTAGTAACCTAAGGCACTAGAGTGAATATGGAACTAACCATATCATCAAATTATTTGTATCAAGCTCATAAAGTATGAAGTGTTGAAATATTTGAACGACTTAAAAATGTATAGAAATATAAAGAAATTGGAGGTGAGATTAAGGAATAAACGTTCCCGTTTATTATTGGGCACTTTTCGTTCTAGCCTCGATTAATTAATACTGGGGGAAGGAAAATTAAAAAGTTTTCTCAGCTGGAGATAATTATGAAATCGTAAGTTTTTGATCTAAAGGATTTCCCTGAACTAGTTGGCGAAGTTTCGGTTGCACTTTTAATTTACGCGAGTCGAATTAACAAAAAAAAAAACATAACCGCTAACTTTTACTTCCGGCGTCCGCAAGTTTCGCGATTCAGATTTATTTACATGCTATAAAAAAATATAAGTATGAAAAGGAGAAACAACATTTGCGCAATAAATAGAAGCCAACAGTAAATGAAAGTTTATGTAATAAAATTCTGGTTGTTAAAAAAGACATTTGTCAGGTGCGTAAATGTATAAAATATATGAAAGTTATACATCATATTCGTAAGGGGTGCGTGCAAAGGGTGTACATCTTTATTAGATGAGGTTCGTGTGTGTTACGCAAGGGCCGTAGTAGTAGTAGTATAAGTCATGCATATGAAAATTTAAGTAGTCGTCGAAGTATCTAAAGCGTGCCTTCTCTCGAAGCAATAATGCGAAAACTCGGAGGGATATGACGAAGGAGACGACGGTGTAGAAAAAAAAAGAGAGAGAGAGAGGAAGTGGAAAAAGGAGAAGTAAAAAGGTGGCTCTCTCTACACCTTTATATAAAACGGCGAATACAATCTAAATTTTACGCGTTCTCCGAGAGCTGGAGAGGAGAATGAGAGTAAACAGGGAGAAAATGTGAACAGACCTGAGGGAGGCGAGAGGATGGTTACAGTTAAGGGAAACGGAAGTCGGGAAGTCGCGGCGGGGTGAAACGGAGGGGGCACGTCGACGCCACCTACCCCATCCCCAATCCAACGTTCCGACGCCCATCCAACCCCCGGTAAATACATCCATCCCGCCCTTTTGCATTCCTTTTTCTGAAGGGAACAACGAAAAAAAAATCTTTACGTCGAATCCACTTTCCACGAAACTACTGAATGGACTACATTTAATCAATAACCAATGCCAACTATAACATTCATGGTTATAAAACTACCTACGCTTCTGCCATTAACTGATTTTATAACTGTACTACCATAATTGTGGTACATTTACTTTTTCCAATTAACCATTTGCGGTCCAGATTAATTTTGTGTAGATTTTATGGATAAATTAAAAATGTGTAATACTTTTGTATTTTTGTTTAGTTTTTGGAAAAAACTTTTACATTAAAAATTAATAAAAAAAAAATACATTTTTGTTCATTTCTCGAGAACTATAAATAGTAGAAAGACCATTAATTGTGCTTTTACGAGTGTACAGACGATTTCTTTACGTTATTACGTTAAATACATATTCTTTAAATTAACTTACTTGGAGTATTTGTAACTTCTCTAGTTCTCGTATAATTTACTGTCTATGTCAAAAGTGTTTGTGTAATTCGTTATCAAAGTTGAAATTATGATTTTTTAGCAAACAAACTGCAAACATTTCAGCTAATTTCTTGAA